GAAGACGTTTGGTATTATTGTATGGTGAATTCACACAGATTTGAACATACAAGGTCTTCAGATGGCCATGGGAATAAGGAGCTGCAGAATTTACAATATGTGACCAGTAAAGGCTGTTCTGTTAACCCCTTTTTGACCCGATAGTCAAAAACATCCCTCCCTGTTATTTAATTACATCCTTATGAGCGTCATTATGGAAGCAGACGTGTGTTCGCCTATATCCACTCACTTCTGGGTCTGTTTAGTTCTGTTAGACCGAACGCAAAAACTTTGCATCCAGGTCCTCCAAATATACAGTAGGTGGATGCACAACCATTTACATCCAGCCACCCATAGGGATTACATGGGTCCATTTTTCCTCCGTCCCAAGATGGTGACAAAATCAGAACAGACAGGGATAACACATGTGCGACATCTGCCTCGGTTCTTATCCGACTTAGCAGGGGATCCCCTGCTGAGAAGGAATGGACGGTGCCCGCGTGAAAGGGGCTTAAGGCTTTCCCCTACTTTGCTTGTAATGGAGAGAAGGTAATGTGCAATCTGGGACCTGAAGAACTCAGAACGTCAGTGTACACATATTAATGTGTGCTATGCTATTATACACTCTATATAGGCTGGAAACACACCCCAAAAACCGCACCTGCCTTTTTTTAGGAGTTCAATACACTGCAGTGGGGTACCCCTTCACTGCAAACGGTAAGTGCTCAATTTCTCTAGTGGGCTAAAATAAAGCAGATATGCTCACCTGATCTTTGTTTGCATAGCGGTTGGCACTCCTATCTCTCCTTCTGCTGCAGCTATGAGATGTCCCTCGGAGTGCTCACGTCTAATACAAGTCAATGGACCTCCATAAGATGTGATGACGTCAACAGTCCTTAGACCGCTAGAGCCGAGGGTAGAATAGGCTGCCGGGACCAGTCTAGCAGCCCAGTTGGACCGAAGATCAGGTGAGTATATCTGCTTTATTTGAGCCCCCTAGACAAAACGAGCAGTCGGCCCTTGCAGTGCAGGGGGTAGCAAGGGTACATTTTTTCAGTGTCCGGAGTTCTTTTTTAAAGCAAATCTGAAAACTCATAACTAGGGAGGTTGCTGCTTCTGACCCTTTCTGAAAATGCCAGTTGCCAGGCTCTCCTTCTGATGTTTCACATTCAATACCTGTCCTGGAATTGATATGCAGATCAGGAGTCTTGAATTTACATTAGTGACTCAGAAAGTATTAAATCCGGAGGACTGACATGACACCCATGCAGCCAGTATGAGGTCAGCAATGACAACCTATAAAACTAACAAGTTTCCTTTAGGCCCCTACAAACTATACACTGTGTTAATGCACCAGCATTAACATAAAACATTGTTGTGCATTACGGTGTACTGTGACCAAGTACAAGTACTGTCCCTCATGTACTTGCTGATACCAATTACCAATACTTTTTCTTAAAGGAACATGTGAGATTTTTTTTCTAAAACAACACAGACTGATCATTTTAGGGCAGTTTCTCACCAGGGCTAAATACGGATGTCACCAGAACTGAACACATGTCCCCACAGCCGAACACATGTCCCCACAGCAGAACACATGTCCCTAAGGCAGAATAGTATTCTGTTTTGGGGACATGTATTCTGAGAACACATGTCCACAAAGCAGGATACATGTCCCTATTAGACAGAATAGAAACGGCCTGCACGTACAGCTCCATGCTGCGTGCACGGCCGTATCGGGCAGCTCCCCGGAAGCACAGGTGCTGTATGTGATTAGTACGCAGCCCTACGCTGACCCCAAGTGCAGATGCGTACAGGTGCGGGTGTCCCAGCTCGGACGCAGACAGGATCCATCATGTCAGCTAACGAGTATGGACACCCGGACCCGCACGGAAGTGCAGGGCAGGTGAGCGTAGGGTGGCGTACGGCCGTGTAGTCCCATAGAGAAAGACTGGGGCTGCGTACTAATCACACGCAGCACCTGTGCTTCCGGGGAGCTGCCCGATACGGCCGTGCACGCAGCACGAAGCTGTATGTGCCGGCCTTTTCTCGTGTGAATGAGGCCTAACACTGCACAGATTTTTAAAGCCACACTTGCAGGATTTTTTGTGTTGCACCAGGTTATCCACTGGAATACGATAACAGCTTGTTCTGGAATAATGCAGTCATGTGTAATATTACCTTCTGTATGCTTTATGTGCTGATATAAGATCTCATTGTTCCAACTGAAAAAAATGACAGGCTGAGTGGGGTAGTACAGAGTCTAAAGAATCACACATGTTCCTGTACTTCCCCTTTAATAGAATAGTTATGGTATAGTGCTGTGCTGCGCTGTGCAAGTGTCAAACACCACCATTGAAGAAAAAAGGAAGTCTGGAAACTCAAGATCACGTCTTTGTTTTGTACAGTATGGGGGGGAAGGTCTGCTTCCACTCGTACAAGTATTAACATATACTGCATTCCTTGAGTGTTATAGGGCAACTTGCTTGAAATGACAATCTCAGTTTAAAGTCTAACTCCAGCCCAATGTATTATTTTATTTTTGATAGAGTGAGAAAGGGTTCAAAGCTCTGTAAGACTTTTCTTGCTGCTGTGTCCCCATGGAGGAGAATTTCTTCTCACTTCCTGTCTCAATGATCACATAAGAAACTGAAATGCAATCTCCCTAAAAGGTTTCTAACCCTTCCCCAGTCTGCTAAATAAAATTGCCGTTCATATCTCCACTGGAAACGTCACTTGCTGTTCTGATGGTTGCACAGGACTACTCGTCTTGGTGTGGCGTGTTTTAAAGAGAAGGTGCAGGGTCTTCTTTGGTGCGATAGTTGTGTATAGCACAGGCCATTGGAAAGGATGAGCTGCCTATATATGACGTGCAAAAATGCACATGCGCGCCCTGTCGCACCCACACAAGTGTGAACGGGGGCTAATTGTTTGGCAAACTTAAGTCTGTTCATCAGACTCAGAGATTCCTTTGAGTAGCAATAGATTCATTACAAGTCGGCAGTAAACATGGTATAAGTTGGAATCCCATTTGACTCAGAGGTCTGGAAAGTTGCTTTGGCCGACGGCCACATTTTTTCCTTTGCCTCTGTTTTTAGGGTTTGTTCAGACCATGTCCGGACTAGATCTGGATGCATTTCTGTAAACGCAGTCATGGTTGTTTTTGATGCTTTCCAAACCAGAAAGAAATGTGACATGCTGGACTTGTTTTTGAAAGCTTTGCAACTAAACACAATGGTGTGAAAAACCATTGGAATCTATGGGGATGCGTTTTTGGACCAGACAAACATACTGGTCTGGAGATGGTGGGAACAAGCCCTTAAAGCGTCTTTTTCTATTTTGTAAGGCCCCTTTCAGATTGGTGGTCCGATCGGATGCCCAATGTAAGTCTATTGGCTGGGTGTCCGTTTACATCTGGTTGCCCCTGGCTCTTGGGTCGGATCAGGGGCAATCTGATATAAGGGCCCAGTCACACCATATCCAGTACATGCAGCATTTTTCAGATCGCACTGCACTGGAACAGAGGGCATTCCTGTACCTCGCGTTCTAGTGAGGGCGATCGCACTGTGGGTGGCGGGCGTGTGTATAAGTCTACATTCACATATGAGTGTTGGCATTTTTGATCATTTTTTTTTGCGTGTTTGTACATGCTTTTTTTGTGCGTCATTAGGCTTGAGTAATTTTGTTTGTTGGGCACAAAATCTTGCAGAAAATGCAAATTTTTGGGGAATTTTCCACGCAATCCCATTAGAGTCCATTGGGGCCAAAAATGCACAATCATGCCCTAAGCTCCTGTACTAATTTCTGAACATTGAGTGACAGCACATCGCTCAGATATAAACGGCACAATAGAATAACATGGACTTCTGGAGAGTGTGGAGCGTTGCATTGCTTTTAGAAACACGCTTCAAATAATTCAGGTGAATGGGGGCTAATGGTCCGTATAGTGCTTCCCTGTACATGGGTTTAGACGCATAAATGTCTGTAAAACATTCACATCCAAAAACGTCCTCTAGCTCATTTTTCAATCCCACCACAAAAGCAGGAACATGCATAGATTATGCAGAAACACTCTCCGCAGATGCAGAATTTCAACTTATGCAGTTGAACGCAGAGCAAGACTCCTGAGTGCAATGTAGCTATGCACATTGGCCCATAATAAACAATACTGCTGCATTCAGATGCATAAAAAAAACATATGCCATACTGATCTGAACACATTGAGGGGAATTTATCAAAGCTGGAGCAGACAAAATCTGGAGCAGCTGTGCATGGCAACCAATCAGCTTCTCTTTTTCATGTTCAAATCTTAACTGAACAAACTGAAGAGAGAAGCTGATTGGTTGCCATGCACAGCTGCTCCAGTTTTTGTCTGCTCCAGTTTTGATAAATTCCCTCCATTGTACCAAGGGCCCGCAAACCTGACCAGCGCACCGCCGTAGCAGGCACAACCCATTGTCCCCGACGATCTATGGACAGGAAGCCTGTACAAATCAACCATTAGAGATGAGCCTGTGCTTGGCACGAACCATGTTTGCCCAAGCCCATCACATTTGTGACTGCCACCACCTCCTTCTGGCCCAATCAGTGGCGTAGAGGCGCATTTGTCACCCAGAAGTTATACATCACAAAGGGTAGGGGAATGCCCCTGCGGCCACTGATTGGGCTGGGAGGGGGAAGTGGCGGTCACAGTTTTGAGCAGGCTAGGGCAAACTGGGTTCACCCCAAGCCAGAACGCAGAGTTTTTACGCTCGTGTGCAAGAGCCCTTAAACCAAAATCTTGTTGCTACCGGTTACTGCACTTTGCAGATCCACATTGTTATGGAATATGCCTCAGCTGTCACATGCCAATGAAAATCAGCCTATGGAGGTCAGTCATAATAATTCATAGAACCATTAACAGAATGTATTGTCCATGGGAACAGCTGCAGCTGAGAAGGCTTAAAGGATCTCAGCCGCTCCCGCCCCTCCTCCCCCTGCCAGCTGCTGTAATCAGAGGGACAGACAGGCAACAGGCTTTGGGTTCGCAAGAAGGAACGGAAGGACTTGAATGCTTTGTGACATCCCTGTGTCACCATACAGATACGTGTGCAGGTACCGTGCCATCTGATCACCCCTCCTCTATGCTCTCTATCTTGCTCCAAGTTGGTGCCTCGGGTAACTTTGTGCACATTGCCGCTTTGCTGCTTCTTTGTGTCCTCTGAAATTGCTACAAGTTTCCCCTTTGTTCTGTCATCTGATGTAGTTTTCTATTTTGCTGTCATTTTCCAGCAATCAGATGAGAATGTTTATTTGCTTTTCAGCCTCTGTTGATGTGCTAGTGGCTTTATTTATAAATTGATATAAAGCAGCTTGGAGCTAGCTGTCACAGGGCGGTAACTGTCATTAACAAATGACATGAGACTTCTGTGTATGGTGATGGCTCTTGTGATGTGTGCATGTGTGTCTGCACACTGCATGGTACAACTGCTATGCTTGTAAAAGAAATCCTCTTAAGCATGGAGTTAAACCTGTTTCTGTAGAATGCACATATTGATATAACGTTACATATTTTTTCCCCTTTTTGCAGTTATATATAGTTCTTGCAAAAGCAGTTTATCTGTATGCATTACATAGATGATATACATTTTTTATATATATTTTTCTTAACAGAATGTATATAGCACCAATGCTTTGCATATATTTTTTACTATAGTTGTATTGGTTTGTAGTAATGCTTGTGTGAGTTTATAGAATCTAAATTTCTTCTGCTAGAATTGATTTAATTAAATTATATTAACCCCTTATTTTCACCAGGAGCCCACTTTTTAAGGGGTTCCTAACACCAGAGGCCTTTCCTGGGCTACTTGATCAGATTATCCCTGTGATTGGATTGAGGCATAGAGATGAAGCACTGCTCCTCCACTGCTGTAGCAGGGGAAAGACAGCCGGGGCTCGCTGGCAGGAGTGTGTCCTCGCTTCCGGGATTGGCTGTCATTGTAGTCACATGACTGGGTACCCCTCCTACTAGCTCCTGATTGTAAACAGTGACCCGGAGCTGTCACTGACAGCATGTTTACAGTGCAGGGGGTCACGTGATTGAGCGCACTCCAAGCACAGAACAGCGACACCAGAGTGAAGGCCCGCTGCCGTGCTGCCACATATATGCGTACGGCTGGTGGGAGGGAGTTAACACTAGGGGCAGCTTGACATCGTTGCATGGATTGCGTGTCCATTTTCATGCAGTGAGGCAACCTATTCCATCTGAGTGGGCTTGCAACACATGAAACAAACCACCTGCACTATTCTTGGCAACACAATGCCATTTTGTAGTGCAGGGGCTTTTAGGTCTACCACATGTTGGGTTGCTATTCTGAATGAATAGAATCACACTGCAATGCATGTTACCATGCATATTTATGTGATAAGACGTTAAACCTTCATTATAATTTGCAACATGTGTAAAGCCAACCTTAGAGATCATTGACGCTGCAGCCCTTCCAAGAGATGTTTGTGCAATTGACAGGCAAATTCTGGCATAAAAGAAAAGTAAAGCCAAACTTTATTTTTTTTGCCATTAGTTCTTTTATGGGTTACAGGCGTACATTTACTAAGGCGCTCCTGTGACCTAACACCTTCAGATAGCGGGCTATTGCCCACTATCTACTGACACCACTGCAGCCGGAATGGATTGTCGGGGTCCACCCAGACGCTTGATTGACAGCTGGCTCTTTCTCTCTAGAACCAGAGCCCACCCCTCCTCTCTTTGTCACTCCAATGAGCGCTGGAGGAACAGAGAGAAGGGAGGGCGGGGAATCCCTGTGGGGAGTGGTGACTGACAGTCATCGTTCTTTACAGGGAGGTTATTGCAGTCACACGATCGCTCAGCTCTCAGTATAGAGTTGCCAGCTCGAAGTATTTGGAAGAGTATAGTGCACTCTCCCAATACTTCTCTTTAACAAAGGGGTCCTGCCAGTTGCCCAAACACCTCTTGGAAAGGCTGCAGTGTCATTGATCTCAGAAGACTGGCTCTATGCATAACACGTTAAATCTACGTTATAATGCACATTCCTTCTACGCATGCTAACGTGCATTGCAACTCAATTCCATTCATCAAACGTCTCGTTGGCAATTGCTGTTATGTATTAAATGCTATACTGACCATTGAAGTGCTAAAGAGCAGTTCTGATGCTGCAAATGCAAGCTCTGTTGGTTCGGATAGTGCAAGACCTTGTCTGTAGTACTCCAATCTCCCCTGTCTGTTGTTTCTTATGGCTTCGACAGTCTAAGGCAGGGGGTGGGCCCTCCAGCTGTGCTTTAACTACAAATCCCAACAATCCTCTGCCTTTGGGATTCATGCCTGTAACTGTCAGTCTTGCAATGCCTCACGTGACTTGTAGTTCCACAACAGCTGGTCTAAGGTTACCACCTGTAATATCGCATTGTAAGCTCTTCTGCATACACTGCTGCGTTGACCGTTCTTTCGTCTGGTATTGTAGCTTGTATCACTGTACATTCTTAAATAGTCACTTGTTCAAAGGGAACCTGTCACGGAAGAAACATGAAATCTACCTTTGCTGTGTTCTTTTTCTGAAAATGCTAGTGCATTTGCATGCTGTCATTCTTACCATCTTGCGTCAAGTAAACCTTTTCCTAAGAAATGGAAAGTGAGCAATGGAATCCTCCATGTTCCTCTCCAGAAAGGATTATTTTAAGTACTTTCAACCACTGACTCTGCCTACTTGTTCCAGATCAGTGACCCAGAGGTCATAGTGTAGATGCCAGAGAGTCAGCATTTTTCAGCAATGGAGGCTGCTTTATTTTTCAAAGCCACCAGACTTGTGGCTCATCCCTGGATTGTAAAGAGTTTTATGGACTAAAGATAAAAATGTGCTATAAACGAACATTATTGCAACCCGTGGGACTGTATGAAAGAGAAATATTCATCGTCCCACACCTAGGAAGAACAGCACAATGCACTTGCAGTATAGCACACTGCAACACACGCATAATAAAGCACGGCAACAGACTGTAAAGAATCTCTACAAAGAAAATTATACCCTCCCACATGCACGACACAATGGCGCAGAAAGTTGAAAAGCTGCTAAGTACAGGAACTGCATTTTATTTTGTATTATTGGTATTTATGCAGTGCTTTACATACTGCACATATCAGTCCCTGACCTCAAGGACCTTCCAATCTAAGCACCCTATTTCCCTACTCCAATTTATAGAGGAGCCAATTAACCTTCCAGCAAGTCTTTGGAGTGTGGGAGGAAACCGGAGTACCCTGAGGAAACCTATGCAAGCACAGGGAGGACATGCAAACTCCTTGCAGATAGTGTCCTGGTGGGATGAGGGTATTGTGTGTCATCCCTTATCAGAAGGTGGGAAATAGACATGAAAAGATTGGTTGTTGGTAGTAAAACAGATTTAAAAATTCCAGTTTTAAAATCTTTTTTTTTTGGGTTGCCCCAAGCTCCCAGTCACACTAGAGAAGGGGAAGGCAAACTCCGGCCCTCCAGCTGTAGTGCAGCTACAAATCCCATTGGGCATTGCAAGACGTGGACAGCCACAGGGATGACTCCTAGAGACAGATGCATGGTAAGAGTTCTAGTTCCACCACAGTTGGAGGGCTGGAATTTTCCTACCCCTGCACTAGAGAATATTTTCAGGTGACTCTGAAGCTTTGAAGCACGTGTTGTTGAAGCATTTTTCGTGTGTTTTCAAACTTCAGGCATTTTTGTTTTGGGAAGTGGAAAGCAGTATTATGTGTAAAGTGTAGTCATTGTTGTGTCTTGTGCTAATCGGAGCTCCTAGCCTGGGAAAACTTTACTCCTCATTTCTGCCAGGCTCGTTGCTTCTTGTAATGGGCATCACTGGGGTCATAGAGGTTCTTGTGTGCCCTCTTCAAGTGGATTAGAGTCTTCACATACAACATGAAAAGCAGGAAATCACCACCACTCAATAATGAAGATAAATATGTCCCTTTTTTTGGGGCAAAAGCGTCACAGAAATCCAAAAGAACCGACGTTTCGGGGCCGCGCAGGGTCCCTTCCTCAAGGCAGAAAGACGGCAGAAAGGTCACGTCTTTCTGCCTTGAGGAAGGGACCCTTCGATGCCCCGAAACGTCGGTTCTTTTGGATTTCTGTGACGCTTTTGTCCAATAAAAGGGACATACTTATCTTCATTATTGAGTGCTTGTGATTTCCTGCTTTTCCTACACGGCGCCATTCGTGATCAAACATCAATGCGAGCACCATTTTTGCTTATTTGGCCGGGAGTCCTGTGAGGTGTGCGGAGAGTCCCTCCAACAACTTACTTCACATACAACATGGACATTTCTGAATCCTCCATTTTGTTCAGAGGCCTCAGGTTACTAGGAGGATACAGGTAGCTGGGCAGAAGAAAAGTGCTAGAATGCTTGTTATGCATTTTCAGGCACTCCCATTGAAGTCTATGGGGCCAAAAACATGCAATTCCACCCAAAAAAGCTTGTGTTTTTTTTTTTTTTTTTTTGAGCAGGTAAAGCCATTCAGAAAACAAAA